CCATTAATTTGTATCCTTATGAACAACATCTCAGGTATCAGTCGTTTGTTTAGATATTTTTCGCTGTCCAAAATCCGGACATGGTTCCAGTCAAAATCATGGTCAAACTCTAATCTATGATCGGTAATCACCGAACCAACAGTTGTATTTCTACGTATGTGGTTGCGGTGTTCCCCGATTCTCGTCTGTAGTCTCCTGCTTGTCTGACCTACATAAGATGCATCACAATCTGCACAATTGATCATATAGATGACATTAGTGCAAAATGCACTGGGAAGGACGTCCTTATGTACCCTAATAAAGCATGATAATTTATTAAGACTACAGTAAGAAAGCCTGACGTCAAGATCTTTTATGATGTTTTTAAATTTGTGCAAGATGGTATGGACGAAAGGGATTGTAAAATAGGAGACAATCTTATTATTGACATCCTCATCGTAAGTTGGAAGGCCCCTACTAGAGATCAGAAATTTGAGACGGTTAAAAATTGTTTGAAAAATGAAATCTAATGGGTAGTTATTGTCCAGGAGAATTTTTATGATAAAGTCCAAATTTTTTTTGGTGAAATTGTGGATGTGAAAGTAAGAAAGCTCTATCAACAAGGCCAATAATGGTACCTCTTTTTTGGCATGTCGGATGTTGAGAAAGAAAATTAAGATACCGACCCGAAAAAGTAGGTTTATGGAACCAGTCAGTTACTAAGCGGTTGTTAATTAGAAGTATTGAGATATCTAAAAAGTTCAATTTATCATTGTCAGCAATTTCTAAGGTGAATTGGATTTTAGGATGTAAGGAGTTAAAAACATTAACTGTGTGATCCATAAGATAAAATGGTGCAGTCATTGCGATATCATCAACGTATCTAAAGTAAAAGGATGGAATGAAAGTCAATGTTGAAAGAGCTTTCTCTTCCAAATCTTGAAGGACTATGTCAGCTATGATGGGAGATAATGGGGAACCCATAGGAGTGCCATAAGTTTGTTTATAAATTGTTCCATTAAATGTAAAGAAAGTAGAGTTCAAAACAAATTTTATCGCTAAGATAAACTCCGCTGGAGGAATGGAACAATTGTTGGAAATGAGATCTATTCTTTTCTCGACACTCTCAATGGCAAGGTCAATAGGGATGTTGGTGAATAACGAGATCACATCCAACGATAGCAATTTGAAATCATCAGTTACTGTGACATTCGACAGATTTTTAGTTAATTGAAAGCTATTGACAATGTTGCTATGTGCTTTAGGAAAACTTTTCAACATGATTTTATGAAGGAAGAAGGCAAGATGGTATAAACTGCTATTCAATGAAGAAACTATGATTCGATACGGACAGTCACGTTTATGTATTTTTGGCAGTCCGTATGCTCTAGGGAGATTGCCGTCACTACAATAAAGAGTTTTGTATGTAGCGGATGAAATATGATTGGAATTCTTCCATCTAGTTAATAGTTCGCGTAAAGATGTTATCAGTTTCTTAGTAGGATCTTTAGAAAGAACAACGTAAGTCTCAGTATCATTCAATGTATTGTTCATGTTAACAAAATAGACATTTTTATCTAGAGCCACAGTCACATTTCCCTTATCAGCCCTGGTGAGAATAAGGTTGGAATTATCAATTAAAAATTTTTTAGTCTTACGATAAAGTTGATTTAACGTCAGATTTACTCCGACCTGAGAAGGAGAATACGAAGGAAGATTATTAATAAGAGAGGAGGCTCGGTTTCTGATGGATAGCTGAGCATAGGGCGGGAGATGTCTGAGGTTG